CACCGCCGCTGCCGCCCGATTCACCACCACGAAGCCCCCACCCCACTGCCGCCCGCTACCAAGCCCCCGTCCCGAGCCCCCACCTCACCACCGCCGCCCAGATTCGACCGCTGCGCAGCCGCCGCCGCGGCCCTTCGTCGCCATGCCGCCGAAGAAGATTTGGAAGAGCAAGACGGGGTTCTTCGGCATGCGGGCGAAGCCGTCCAGCAACTTCGGCATGGAGTTCTATGACGAGGGACGCCGCTTCTGGCTCGACACGTACTTCACCGCCGACGAGGCCTCGCGTGCTTACAATCAAAGCAAGGAGTTGATGGAAAACATGCAGAAAATTAGCAATTTACTCTCTTGCATCCAACAAGAGTGTAACTATGATTATAGATTTACCATTCTATTCTTTCATTTTTCTAATATTCCATGTAATAACCGTTGAGCAAGAAATTAAGCTCGGGCGTACTGAATGAACCTCACACAACAATTGTTCATTAATTTCGCTAGAGGGATACTTTTATAAAAATGTTTAAACATATTTGTCACTGCTATATAGCACAACTAAATGACAGTTCCACACAACAAGCCAACCAATTGAAGTAAACCGCATACGAAATAAATATAGGGGACTTAACCCAAGACCGAAGAATAGGCGCGCAAAGCGCGCGTCATGCTCTAGTCTCTTTTCGTCTCTTTGAAGCTTGTGTGGACATAGTATGGTGTAAGGATGTGGTGAGTTGTTGACTATTGAGACACCTACAATATTAGCAGATTAAACATTGTCTCCGATTTCCGATAGGGTGTGGCTAGGTCTCAATCGACTGAGGCTTGGTTGAACCTTCAGATGGCTCGGCGGGCGCAGGAATGATTCTTCGAGACGATAAAGAGGGCGTCATCTTTGCGGCCTACCGCAAACTGTTCCATTGTAATGAAGCCCTTGAAGCAGAATTACTAGCAATTTGGGAAGGACTCAAGTTGGCGGTTGAGCATTCAAATGCTACTATTTTAGTGCAGTCAGATTGTGCGGTCGCACTTAAAGCACTTTCAGATGATTCGGCTTATGGTCATTTGGTTAGAGATATAAAAAGTCTTTTGAATGATAGGGTCATTATTCCCATTAAAATCCTCAGGGAATAGAATAGAGTTGCAGATTTTTTGGTAGAGTCTCCACCTTCTTGTGTGAGAGACTTAGTCGATGAATATTGTAACTCTATCATTATGAAAAAATAAACCTTATGATTCTTCGCAAAAAAAAATGACATAGTATATAAAAAAATTGAAAAATCTTGTACGAATCTTCATGCAAGAT